CCAACAGATTATGAAGTTACCATTATATTATGAAGCTACCAGCAGACTATGAAGTTACTACTATAATATGAAGACACCGGCAGACTATGAAGTTACCTTCATGACCTAATATAAGTCATCGGTAACTTCATGATATAATTATATCATGAAGTTACCGGCGACTACCTTCACCAAAAAGTTTAGAAGTGGAAGCCAGAAGACTCTACTCATAAATAGTATATATAAATGCAGCATTAAGGTTCCTCTAAAAGCAAAATAGCTTACCAAATCCAGAAACAGAAAAACATGAACTTTTGGTGGATGCTTAACAGAACGAAATACTTTTTTTCTATCAGGAAACTGCTAAACCTTTTTTTTTTATGTATATAATTGAAATATACTCTCATCTATAAAAACAACTCGATTCTAATCAAAATTCTTATGTTTTTTGCCCATTGCAACCTTTTTTTTTAATAATTTTCTTTAAGCAAAGGTTTAGAAAATTCATTACTAAACTTTTCTCCAAACTTACGAAGACATCACCTTACTGTTTTTACACTAAGCCTAATACCCCTTTCTTCCATTTTTTCTTGTATTTGAATAGCTATTATATTATGTTCTTTCTCTACCATTTTTACAATCTTATCATCTTGTTTTGCAGATGTTATACAAGGCTGCCCAGTTTTTTTGAAATACTTAAGTCCTGATTTTCATGATATCTTTTAACCCAATAAATAGCTGTAAACTTATTACAACGTATCTGTTTAGCAATAAATCCAAAACTAAACTTTAGATCAGCTGAATGCTCACGTAAAAAGACAATTTCATATTGTTTCTCTAAAGAAAGTTCCATTTTTCAAGCGAAAGTTTGATAATCATCTAAATTTTTTTTTGTATCATTGATGCTTATAAATTACAGGTAATTATGTATTGTATTACATTATATTTTTGGAAAATTTAAGGGGTAGTTATATAATAATTTTGGACGATCTTGGGCAGTCAGATACTTATAACTGCTACTGTAACTAATATTTACATTAGATTTAAAGCTTTTATTAAGTGTTACATCAAGAGGTTACAATCTAGATATTAATCTATTAGGAATTACTATAATATTAGTATGAACTTCATCCAATTTTTATTTAATAGAATCAACTAAACGATCACGAAAAAAATCTAAAACAAGAAGAGATCTAGGATTTAATAATTGATCAGGAGTTCTTTTAGGCTAAATATTATTATCTACCAGATCATTTCTTTTTTATTGACCTATCCTTTTGCATTAGTTCTAATAAATATATCATTAGGAAAATCTTCTCAAGGTTTATTTTCAATTTAAAAATAATAATAGAAGGTAGTTTTGACCTATTAGCCATACAACCTAACATAACTGTAAACATACTTCTTTCATGTTCTGTAGTTTTAATACTAATAGTATTAGAATCACACTTTTCTAAAGTATAAGAATTAGGTAAGTCAAAAGCAACAGGAGTTTCATCTATATTTGCAATACATTGAAATAGATAATCATGTTGTATTCTTCTATAAAAAATAAAACTTAAGAAATTCTGTTGTTTTTCAAGCAAATTCTCTGGTAAATATTGAGATACTATTGTTCTTCACCTATTTGAAAAATCATGACAGACTATAAAGCAATCCATCCATTTTTGTGAAAATTTGAATGAAAAAATTATAGGATACTTTTCTTGATATGTTTCAGTTTGTGAAGCTTTTTGGCTTTTTTTGTTGCTATGTTTCTAGTAACTGGTAAACTTTGTACACAATAACTAGTAATACATTCTGCTAATTCTTGTTCTAATTCTAGAAAAAAAGGTTATCTGTCAGCATATAATTTTAATAAATGAGGTGCTAAAAACTTTAATTGGTCTTTTTTTTTCTCTAATCACGAACTTGGCTTGGTTCTAAACCAAAATATTTTGCCATTACATGAACACTATTTGAACATTACAAATAATGCAAAATCATTAACTTCTTACGCTCGCATCATTGTTATCTTTTTTTAAAGTAACTCTAGAACGTTTAGACTTTTGGTTTCCTTTAATGACCATTTTTTTAAAAAAAAAATCGTGAAATACGATACAAATGAAACATGATAAAAAATACGCAAAAAATTTAATGGTACTTATAATATACAGTATATTATATATATTGATCTACATATTACATATATTCTGATTAAAAAACCCACCTTCTATCAAAATATCCTCTAATTAAATTACCTGGGTATTTTATAAAATTGGAGGTGGATTTGTAAAAAACTCAGGGTAGTTTAGTCAGTACTTTACGGTATTTCATGCAGCTATCTGACCTTTGTTCTATTTATTATTTTTAAGAACTTCACATTGTTAAAGTTAAGATAAAGAATTTTACTCTATGCTAGAAGATGTCTGAATAGGAAACATTTTTGACAAAATTTGAAAAAGGTTATAACAGTGATATTTAGAATTCTTATTCACCCACCTACTGATACTCTACTCAATACTACACATATTGTTAGATTTAAAGAAAATGCTCATTAGATCAATAGAATGATATATAATTTTCTTTCAGTTGCTACAAATAAATTCATGATCTCACAAGTTATAGACATTGTAAATGCTGTGCAATAGGAACTTTCATTATCAAATCCTATGTTTAAGCTAAAAACAAACCTTCTGCCATCTATTCGCTTACAATCAGATGCATAAGTAATATATCTAAACAACTCTCTCATTCAACATGATATATGTAATGGTACAATAGGTGTGGTTACTGATATCTATCCTTCTGAAGAATATGCTCAGATTACTTTCTCTATTAGAGACTTAATCATTAACATTAACATTTACAAACATATCTATTATTTTGAAATAAATGTAAACAATTGTCATTGTACCCAATTTTCTCTTCAAAATTACTTTGCTTTGACTGTTTATAAAACTCAAGGTTTAACTTTACCAATGGTATCTCTCACTTTAGATGGTAAAATCTTATCACCTGGTCAAGCTTATGTTGCTCTAAGCAGATGTTTTACTTGGAATAATGTTGAAATCTCCCACCTGGACAAATCTGCCTTCATGTCAAATCAAGATGTCATATTAGAAAATCAAAGATTATCAAACATTTCTAATACAAATCCTCATTTATTTTCATAAATATTCTATATTTACTTTCTTTTAACTTATATATTTCTTATATTCTCAAAAATTCAATTCAATTTTAAAAAAAAAATTTCAATTTTACTTTTCAAAAAAACTTTAATTAATATACTCTAAAAATCTTTTTACTGTATATCATTTGTTAAATAAGATAAATAGAATACTACAAATTTTATAAATTATCAATAAAAAATTTTCGATATAACTATTTATTATACTGGTCATACAGTAAATCAATACATTTGGTCAGTGATCATGTGCACTTTCACTTTCACTACATATATCAAATTAGTATCCGGTGAAAAGTTTTTATTATATTTTTGAGGACAGAATTTTTTTTCGGTGGGTGATGCTTATTTGTCACGATATGGGATGTTATAAATAAGCATAATCAATTATACCAGCCAATCGTAGCGTGGGGGTAAATTAGTAGAAAGGATGTCCAACAGTCTACTTAGGGTTTGAATCATGTGATAAATTCAGATATAACGGAGCCATAATTTGGTCGATTACATTTTTTACCAATTTCACACAATGTCGACAGTTCAAAAAAGAAAAAAAGCTACAAATAATTCCAACGAAATAGTCAGCGATGATAAAAACAGGAAAAATATATTAAAAAAAGAAAGTTCCCAACCAAATGATTCGATAGGTTTAATTATATTAAAAGGAATTTTAACTTTAATTATTATAAATTTTGCTGCTTCATACTTTTTAACTGAAACTTGGATTTGGGGATATGAAGGAAAATATACTAACTGGAGAAATTGGATTCCGGTTTGTAAAAAAATGTTTATAAATGTTTTATGATTATAAATTATTTATCCTTTAATAGAAGATGTGGGTAATTTAACAAAGTATTTCTTAAATAGAGAAAAGAAATTATCTTTACTGAAGAGGAATTGGCTAAATATGATGGATCAGATCCCAACCTACCTATATATATTGCTATGAAGTAAGATGAGGATTTAATTTATCTTTATATAAATAATATTACATTTATCTTCAATTGAAATCTTTCGATTTATCGACGTCCTAGTGGTGAAGTGTTTGATGTCACCGGCGGCGAAATGTATTATGGCAAGGTTAAAAACAACTTTATTCTTTAACGATAGAACTAGAATAAGGCATACGCACTAAAGAAAATTTTTAATTTCCTAGGGAGGTGGCTATAATTTTTTTGCAGGTAAAGATGCATCTCGAGCATATGTTACGGGATGTTTCCAGACTCATCTAACTCATGATTTACGTGGACTAACTCCCCAACAAATTGAGGTAAAATGAAGTGATTTTTTTTTTAATTAGAATTTTCACCTTTCCATCAACTATTAAACTAACATTTCATATGTTAGGATCTTAATAATTGGGCATCATTTTATCGTGATCACCACACATATTATAAAGTAGGACGGGTGGTTCATCCACCTATAGATCCAAATTCACCAATTCCTCCTCCTTGTAAGGATGCTTCTTCTCAAAAATCATAATATAAATGACCGATTGAATAATCAATGAATTATATTTATTTATTATAATGTATTCATTTTGTTTTCACTTCAATATAAAATAAAGATGCTCAAATTTTCAAGAGGGTGTTTAATAAGGAATTTGCTGACATCATTTGAAATTTAGTATTAGTCTTGACATATAATATCACAAGATTTTGACCACTCCGAGATATTCGGTTTCTGTGGCGCAGTATATTTGAATCGAATCCACGTGTAAGTTCTTATTATGGTAATTTACAAAATCATGCGACGAGGAATAGAAAATCCATCTATTTGATTTGATTTTTTTTTAAAAAAAAAATAAAAAAAAAATTCCTTTAAATATATAATGTTTCATAGTTTCACTAAACTCTTACAAAAACGAAATGCAATTTCTCATTTGATTTGCACTTTACCGAGAAAAGGTCGATTTCAACTTCAAGGATCAAATTCTATATCTATACCATCATCTTTTATCCATTCAACTAGATATTCATTCAAAGATGAATTTCAATCTAATCCTAATACTTCCCAAATTCATTCGGATCCTTCTCATTCTTCCACTCAATCAACTTCCTCCTCCGATACTTTATCCACCACGTCGTCTCAACACAATTTGAAAGCTCGTCTTTTAATAGCGTTCACATGTAAAGTATGTTCCCATCGTTCTACCAAAACTATGTCAAGGCATGCTTATGATCACGGTGTTATCATCATACAATGTTCTTCGTGTCAAAATCGTCATTTGATAGCAGATCACTTGGGTTGGTTTAGGGATGGTAAAACTACAATTGAAGATTTAATGCGTGAACAAGGTGAAAAAGTAATAAAATTTGTTGATAATACTAGATTAGATGTATTAGAATGGTGCCCCGACATTATAAGCGAGGAAAAAAAGAAATTAAAAGAATTAAAGAAATCTAGAAATAGAAAAGAACTTAGTTTAGGGTTAAATGAAAGGGATAACGTCGATAAACCTGATCAGTAGGGGCTTAATGAAAGAAAGTAATGTGATTAATGTGATTTGATTCATAAGTCAATCAAGTTCTGGCAGTGACTATTTTAAATCGTCAATAAGTACTTTGAAATTTACAATGATAATTATAAGCATGAAGTCAAAAAAATTTTTTTTTTTGCCTTTTTTTTAAGTAACATAAAGCGTTTTCGCATAGTGTATATTATTTATTTCAAGATTTTCTTTTTAGCGAAAAAAAAAATAAAAATAAAAATAAAAAAATGAATAAAATTACAAATAAAAAAGAATACACTGTATATACATTATAATTATTTGCATATTTGCCCTTGACATCCAAAAAAAAAAAAAAAATGAAAATGAAAAAAGAATTACATTAGCCATCAAGTGGAAAGAAGAAACAAATTAATTCAGAATCTCGCTTTAGGAGACTCATGCCAACTGCCAAATAATCAACCGTAAACATTTTCTTTTCAACTACTTTCTTGATTCCATGTGAATTATTTAAATGCGACTGAACCGTTCCATAGTTATTAGTTGGTATTTGTCTTTTATCATTTCTAGCGCGAGCCTCTACGCATAACTTGCATCGGAAAACACGTCGATTTACCAATAATTTAAATACGCCCGATGGCGTTGTAATTGGTTGCAACTTTCCTATTTTTGCGATTGCTTCTGCTTCCCTACAAAGGGTAGGGATTAATGTATTTTCAAGGAAATTACCTCTCCAAGGTATTGTAGGATCAAGATTATGAAATGGTGGTTTTTTGAAAGATAGGCAATATGGAAGATATTGAACCAAAGGATCATTCATGGAGAATCTCTCTGGAATCATTGAATGTATCTAATTAGGAGGAAAAATGTTAAATTATATGAGGGAGGAAAAAATAATGAATAAAAATCACGGAAACAATATTTCCTACCTTGCGAAATATATCAAATCGTCGTGCCCTTGAAGCGGCATATATGCGTTTCTCCTCATATTCTTGTCTTATAAAGTTTTGGAAGCGAATCCAGTGGTTCTCATTAAATAAACTCATCGCTAACCTTGCTTCTTGATTAGAAGTATATTTTTTATAAGTGGGACACCTTTTGAGTTGTACTATTACTTGAAGTTGAGTTCTATGTGCATCATTAGGAACCATGAATGATAATTGGTTCATTAAAGAATCCAACCTTTTTTGACATTTTTTCGATGAGTCCGATCGGTTTGGTACTGAACAACTTGCAATTATCTTATTTAGATTACTTAATTGATCAAATTTTTCATTCGACCATTTATAAATTTCCTTCTTATCAAGCTTCGAGTATTCTTGATGAGCTACCTCTACTTGACTCTTCCAATAAATATAAGGTCGATTTTTTTTATAATAATAAGGAAGTCCTTGAAGCACATCCCGATTGATCCGATCTCCTTCTTCAATTTCTTTTGAACTGAGGAAAAAAAAAAAAAAATAAATAAATAAAGAAAAAAAGGGATATTAAAAAAAAATGCATTTCAAACACATTAAGTATTCAAAAAATTTGGCATCATACGTTACTGTTTTTTCCAAAAAGCATCGTTGGCAACAACGAACTCGGAAACACCAATAAATCTTTGCTGGAGTATCGTATGGCAATTGACCATTTGGATAAACCTTGCCACTACCACAAAATTGACAACCCAATTCAATTAAATTTAAGAAAACATAACATTGCTCCGACATTCCCTTAGGTGGTGTCCGGAGATGTGGTAACCAGCTGATCCTTGCCATTCTCCAAATCTGCTCAGTTCCAAAGTTTGAACGCGCAACTAACCAATTTCGAAACTTTTTACAAACAACGGAAAGAGTAACAAGGTCAACCGGAGGGAGAAATTTACAAATATCAATAAAAACTTCACAAGGAAAGTTAACTATAAATGATCTTTGCGAAGCGGAAACAGTGAGTGAACTAAATCTATCGACCAAATTAAGTATAGGTCGTTGAGATTCAACAAATTCCCAGGTTTCATACATTTTGTTTTGATTTGAAATGATCGCTTAGTAGTAATCTCAATCAAGATCAAGTTGAATATTTGGTAAAACTACGTATAATCGAAAAAAAGGTTCATTTAGCCTTCTTGAATTAAATCTATTTAAGGATCGAGGTTGGTAAATTATAGATCACGTTTTTTTTTGTAAATAGTGATTTTTACGTGTAATGTAATGTGACGCTGTTTGAACATTCTGATTCTGTGATTTAATTAGAATTTCACGTGATTCCGCGAATCATCGTCCTGGGTCCCGTGTAACATAATTTTTTTTTTTCACATAAATGCCAAGGAGTTATTTTGCAAAAAAGGATATAATCATCTTGACAATGATGATTTTCAAATGCTTCTAAATGCAAAAGATTACCGGTCGAAGCATTTTGAAGATGACCGAAGAAAGGTATAAGCCTAAATAAAAAGATTTTAGAAATAATTGTTGGAATATTGGAGGATCGAGCAAATATTGATTTAATGTTTGAAGTATTAATGTGTGAAATAAACCATTTCATTTAGTTTGCACAAAACTACATGAAATGGTTAATTCACAACATTTTATACACATTAATTCAAAAATTTTACTTTAATTTTTTCATTTGGTTCCACTTTGTTAAATAATATTCAAGTATTTTTTATCTCAAACGCATGTTAAAAGTATATTCTAAATAAAAATTCCTTATTGCATAAGCAACGTATATTTCCGAGTTTTATCCATCCCATCTTTAGCTGTGTAATGGTTTGGGGAGTGGCCCATGTTAATCTTTTACCTTTCAGATGAAGGGAATGTAAAGGATCCGCTGTTAGCCGAAATTTTCAGGTGGGTAGTTAATATAAGGGATGATTTTTATTGCTAATAGTACTGCGATCACGTATTAATGAATTTTTTTTTTCAAACAATAAATCCGGAATCACGCAAAAATTCCAAATTCGATTCTTAGGCTGTAATTAATTACACAAAACATATAAAATATTTTAGTTAGATCGAAGATTTACTATTGTCCAAGTTAAACGAAAAGAAATCAATAAAGGTCAATTCTATATCGTTAAATCAAAGAATCCTAAGCAAATGCGTATTACCTGACAATAAATTTTTTTTTCATGTGGTGTGTAACGCCATGTATTGCCTTTAACCTTGATCTATAGCATTCCTGAAAAAAGTTTTATTTCATCCGTGACGAAATACGTCGCGACCACATTCCCATCACTGATAAATGCCTAATTCATTAATATATCACGTGATAACGCTATTCCATCAACCAATAGAATTTGAAATTTTTAAATACGTAAGTCGTGACTGTCGATCGATATCGCGAACTAAATATGTAACGCGTCCTTTACCTGTGAATACTCAACGTTATACTCGTTTTGGGTTTGATTGCATCTATGGTATCACACGATACATTAGAACGATTCTGTTTAAAGTGGACCTCCTTCGATCGATGCTTGAGAAGTGGGCGTCATGCTCCTTTCCAGAATATTTTTAAAAAAATGATTTGTTAGTTATTGACATTACTCTTAAGCCAATATAATAGTGTTGATTATAATCTTTTTTTAGCATGAACATTCTGGACGGGGTTTCTAACTACTTAAGTAGAACTAATTACTCTAAATGATTCGTCTTCGGTTGCCTTGATCTTTTAGAAGAAAAATGCACATCGGTGACATCTGAAAAACTTGAGGACATTATGGCCGAAATCAAACGTTAGCTCCAATTTTACAAGTACCCATCTTTCATTAAACAAGAAAGCACGAGATAAAGCTGCAATTCCTCATAATGACACTTTCTATTCAAAGAAGTTATTGCGCTCTTAAATCGGATTGATAATAGATAAACAATGTTCGAAGTAGGAAACACTGAAGGTTCTATGGATGATAAAAAATTTCGAGAGGATCATTCAAAGATTAAGGTAGTTTTGAAATATTGTTTGGAAATGTTTCGGAGGAAATTACAACAATTTAGAAACGATGAGCTTGAAGAAGTCTTCACCATGGGCATTCGAGTAACGGGTATGTAAAAAGATATTAAGTTATTCATTCGGTTTTTTTTCACCTAAAATTTTCTCACGTTTATAGGCATAAAATGGACTATATAGGTTAAAAGCATCGTTTTCGAACTAGTCACGATCAATTTTATCGCTTTACTTTCTAACTAGGCCTTAAATCGGGGACAATTACAGTTTTTTAAATCGTTTTTCCTACCTAACCTTTTTAATTCTAATTTATTTAACCAATAATTTTGGAAGCGCTTTCTTGACACTCGTCCAATCAAATTTCAGGATAAGAATTTACCCAGTTTAAGAATGCCCAAAATCTTTTGATTTCTTGATTATTGCATTTTCAAAATTCTATCTCATTAAATATGCACACAAACATTTCTTTATCAATATAATAATTATCTTATAGTTCATTTTTATAAACTTTTTTTCAAACATATGAAATCCTCGTTCTTTAAAAATGGATGAAATTGAGGTTTTATACCTTTAGAAACATAATAATCCAATATTTTATGTTCAACACGACGTACCTATGATTTTTTTTTAAAATATTGTCTATTTAAAATTATTTAAGTGATTTTTTTTTTTTTTTTTTTTTTTTTTTTTTTTAAAAAAAAAAAATAATAATACCATTGCAGCCATGAAATTATCCCGTTTTTCAGAAATGATGCTTTTTGTAAATATAGTAAACATCCCATTCAAATTCCCAAACAACACATCCGTAAACATGCGATCTCCTATAACTGCTATTGTATATGGATTATGTGCTGCAAAATGAGAAATCAATTCGTATCCACAAGAAGGTTTCTATTTGAATTGAAAAAGCTATCGTAAGATATGTTTAATGCAAGTTATTTTATGGGTTTTTACCTTTAATTTGTGTCGTAATACATTAACGCCTGACCAAATAAAGTACCATTAGACCAAATAAATTCAAAGCAAACTGTACGCAAAAGTCTTCATAAATTACCTAAACTTTTTTCGACTACTTTGGCCTTTTTAAATTTAAAAATATTAATTATTAACAATAAATTGTGATATAGCGAATAAAGAAATATCACCTGAGTAAATCCTGGATCATCACTAGTTCCTACACTATTTGATACAACTACTATATTTTCATTTCCAAACACTTCTTTGCCCTCTTTCCAAGCATCCTTTAAACGGATTTCAAAAAAACAAATTTTTTTAAATAAAAATTAATGGTTAGATCTTATGCAGGATAAAATACCTTAAAAGGTGGATAAAGTTCATTGGAATAAGGAGAAGTTAGCGTATTATCTTTATCAAATGCCAATGCAGTTATACCAATGCCTTTTAATTTATAGAAATTTATATCTCGAATATCTAATTTGAAAGTAATTATTTAACGCTAAAATATATTTATAAACTTCATAGTTATAGTTTATTACCATCAACAATAAGATGAGGAATACATAAGTGTACATTTCTAAAAACTTTTAATGAATTAACAATAGCCGTAAGGTTTAAACTCTGCACCATTTTTTTTTTTTTTTTTTTTTTTGAACAAACGAGATCTGCGTATAAAAATATTTGACATATGATCTACTGCATGTGTCAGAGGATTTAAGTTTGAGGATACATAAATATATCACGTGTAATTTTATTTCGATCTTATCTCTATATTTATTCCTTTGACCTTTTTCCTTTTGCTTCGTCCTTTTTTTCCGTCACCGCCGATTTGATTTTCCACTTCTTCAGGGTTTAATCCTTTCCAATCAATCTTTTTAACTAAAGGTATTGGACGTCCATCTGCCCAAGGAGACTTAGTAATGACAAAAATTTTACTTGGATCAGGTGGGTTAATAGGATGATTGATGTAATTTTTGTCAGGTTTATTGTTTCCAATGTGTAATTTTGGGTCCTCTTTATCAGATTTTTTGATTTTGGGAAGAGACTTTTTATCTTTAACATTGGTTTTAGGAAGAGAATCTGAAGATGAAGGTGAAGGTGAGGGTGAGGATGAGAGTGGGGAAGTAATTGATTTCGGAATTTCTTGCATGATGGGTATTTTGGTCAATAACCTTTGATAAATCCTCCTTATAAACCTTTTTCTCGGATTATGTGGTCTCGCTGTATGATATGGTACTTCTTTAACAAGGTCACGTGGAGTCTTTGGCATATTAGGAATGTTTGGAAGCCTCAAAGTCATACTACTCTTATCTTTAATAACAAAATTCCTTCCAATCCTTGCTAAACCTTCAGATGACAACGTGCCTTTCCCAGCTTTTTGTTCTAATATTTCTAACTCTTCTTTGGTAACCGGTGGCATTACTTGTTTCATAATTTTAGAGTAATGCCACCACATGATATTCGCTTTTCGACGCGGATGTAGTGGCTTATGTCTTGGCTCGGGTAAAATTGGATAAAGAGATTTATCCTGTGATGATAATAATGCTTGAAGTGATGGTGAAATGCGTGGTGGGGCAGTTCTTGGAACTTTACGAAGAAAGGGCTGAGGAGATGGGCTAGGATAATTGATACAAGTCTAATAGATAATAATAAAAAGTTAAATAGGTTGCAAAGCATATTGATGAAAATATCACTTGAGAATTTTTAGAAAATGGACCTTAAGCAACTCATATCTTTTTGGACCACTTCTTCCGTAAGTCAATTCGAGCACGCGCATGACTGCTTTGACATCAAATACATTAGCTCTTTTTAATTGATTCAATGCCTAAAAAACGTAACAACAAAAAGGAGAAAATTATATATTGATCTTGAAATTCACATGATTACATTACGTAAATTAGTTGACCTTTCGCGCTTCAGCCCATTTCTTCGTGATTCTTTTTTCATTCGTTTCCTTCTTGTATTCTTTAAACCTTGATCTTGTTCTTTCCTTAAGAAAATTCCTTAAATATCAAAAATTGAATTCTATTTATTCAATATTGAATCATATCTTTATTAATACATAAAGTTATATTATTACCTTGCATTATTATCAAAGAATTTTGATGATTCTATCAAAATTTGTTTATAAAGCGAAAGTATTTGCTGTCTTTTATTCAAGTTATTCATTTTTTAATAATCAAAAAAATATATTTCGAAAAGATATATGTTGGATGATCTGCATGGTTAACTAACCGGTTAATTGGTTATTTCCCATCCCCGATCCGATAAAATTTTAAAATTTCACCTTGAATGAAAATGACTACAAAAGAAAAAACTGGTAAACGCCGAGTAGATATTTAGAATTGCGGAGTAAATGTTGAATAAGTGGGAGGAGGGAAATAAAACAGGAGAGATTAGACGAGTTAGAGAACAAGTTGTTGGATCGAAATTGGAGGACTGACGAACAGAAGAAAGGAAGGGAAGTGCTGAGAGACAATTTAGAAAATAAAAAGAAGAGTTAAAGGAAAAAAGGAACGCTGAGGAGGAGCAAATAAATACTTGACAAAAATAAATTAATTGAATTTGGTAAGGAAAATGGTATTGAACAAAATTATGAATTATACAAAATATTATTTTCCATTCATTCCATTTCGTTATTTACTAATTATTTTTTTTATTATTTCCTATTTGGCATACTCTAATTTATACTTTTTATCTTTGATATCAGGCAAGTAATGTCATTTACAAATTTGGTGCGGAATTTGTCATTTGCCTTTGTGAAGATAAAATTGATTTTGCTATGGAATGGAATTCAGAAAAAAAAAAAAATGGGGTCATGTAACGGTTTATAAATCGAAAATGAAATGATAGAAATAAACATCCTGTTCTTATCTTAGTGCTGGACCTAGAGCAGGAAAACAAGTATTATGACTATATATTATTATCAATTAAAATTTATAATTACAATCATTGCAAAAATACTGAACTGCATCATCAGTAGTTATGACGGCAATCGCATCAGCAATATCCACAGTAGCACAACGGCAGTAACAAACTGTTTGTACGTAAAATTGATTATAATGATATTTATAACAAAATATAAGAATATATATACGATTCTGGAACCAAAATTACACAAAGGGGGAGGTAAAAAAGGTTGTAAAAAATAGTTTTTTTTTCCAACATAATTTTAACCGTATAATTTGCTATTTCAACACATATACTGAATAAAATTATTTTATCATTTGTATAATGTATTTTTTTCATACGATCAATAAAACAAGACGCAATTAATTTACCAAATTCAGATAAATAATGGAGTGGGTTATAGGATTTATGGATTGTGGAAAGTGAAGCGAGCATGTACAGTATGTTAATATATCTTTTATTTTAATGAGATCATTGATCCAGAACTTAATGAATAAATGCGCAGTAACATTAGAACAGACATATTACTTTTCTTGTTATATATCGACATTTTGGTCTTCGCCGAGAAAATCACTGACCATCACTGACCATCATCACACGTACATTAGGTGCAATGAAATAATTAAAGTCTGGTGCAGTATCAGGAAAATGTTACTTTCATCTATAAACAAAAAGCGATATGAAATCTTTGAAACATTGTTGACATAAATCTGTTTATTGCAAATTGATTAATATGTGACAATTCAGTAATAACAACAGTTAATATTAAAAATATTTACTTTAAGGCAATTCCCAAATATCAAAGGCGTCAAAAAGCTTCCTTAGCGGTTCTTGAAGTCTTGTAGTTCGTCAGGCAATGTCGTTTCAAGTTGTCGTTTAACTATTTTCGGATCTTGGTCTTCACCTTTGTGAAATTCTGCATTACTTTTTGCTTTCAAATTCATCAATAACTCGAACTCTTCAACAGACATCTTAACGCTACTTAACGTCTTCTCCAACTTTGAAATAAATTCTATTTCGTCTTTCTTAAAATTCATCTTTTTAAATTTCATCTTCCTATTGATAGCACTTCTTACTACAACCCATACTTCGTTACCTAATTTTTTTCTATTTCTTCAACAAAAAATGAGATAAAGTTTATATAGACAGATAAAGCCTCTACATTTTCTAACTTTCTTAAAACCGCTTCAAAAAGATTTAAAGTATCAACAGATACTTTTTTATGTTCATCCATTATTTCAAACAAATTATCCGTGTTATTGCTTAGATCCACCAAGTTGGTTCTTAACTTTTCCCATTCACTATTATTCGCGTTTTCCCTAATCTCTTTTGTAAGTTCTTTTGCGAAGCAACTCTTTTTTGTAAAGGTCCTCAATTTTTGACATTACACATTAAAGCATGAATATTTCGGTGGTGGCAGTGCAAGGAAGCGACTTAATTAATATCAATTTTTTCGTTCAGGTTTGCTAAGGACCTTATAATCACGGAATGCAAATAACATAAATTTTCGGCGAGGCTTTACCGAGGGTAATTTATTTCTGACACTGCATGCTTCGCACAAGTATTACTGACGCTGACGACCATATTTTTCTATCAATGATTGGGACAAATAAAACCGGATCATGAAAAGTTCTTAGGTATTACATCATTTCACTTTGTAAATACAGTATGTATCACGGCTACGAGCCTAATAATGTAATTTATTTGTATTCTGTATCAATAAAGCGACTCTGGTAGTCAATCACATACACATTCGTGTGGGTGAGTGTGCATGGAAAAACACTTATATTCCCGATTTTTTGATCGATTTTTTTTCTTTGGTAAAAGTGATCAGCGTGACAATTCGTCATGCACACATATTTTTTAATTCTCTTCGCTTAACCCACAAAAAATGAATCCGTATTATACTATGTAAAACCTTGATAAAAACCACTACAAATCGGTAAATCTATATAAATCAAAAATGCTATAAATCGACAAATTAATATAAATCGCCAATTCGTTAATGAACATGCCTGGAGAAACTTTTAAGATCATTATAGATAAGGTTTATATTAAATCTATGCCTAAACCCGTCAATCTCTGATTTGAACCATGTTATTGCCTATATAGGAAAATCTCGTTATTATAACTATAATTAGATTGTAAAATAGAGAAGAAATATGGTGATTTATCTTTAATTAGACCCCGTGAAACACCATAACAATGGGCTGTTCGTGTAAGAGATGCTCTGCAAGAGTTACTATCTAAGAGAGAATATAGCATTTATCACGTATACTGTCTTTTCGCATCATTTGGACAAAGAGCAACCAAAACATTCTATGTTAATGCTGAGTTAAAGAAGATCATATCAGCTATCATAGACCTAGTATTCATAAAATTCAAATGGCTATCTGCTTCAAATGCTGGAAATTGGTAAAGATTACTAAAGTAAAGCCAAGAAAGGTATATTATAATGATGGGACAGATGGGACTATGAGGTTGAGTCTAAAGATTTGATGAAGAATCACTGGGATTGCTTGTGCTTTAGGACACTTATCACTAATAATTATAAAGAATTGAAAATATTATATGATAAAAAAAACCATTTCATTATTAAAAATCAAAATTCAGAATTAACATTTAAGCCATGCTTATTGACTCTCTCCGAGTATAATATTTATTTTTATCTCTGTTTATAAAACAAAATAACTTATTACCATTTATAAACTTTCTTAATTAATCAAAAGATACTGTATTAAGATCAAGAAATAAAATAGAAATCACAATTGTTTAACTGATTTAACTGACTGGTTTTAAGCAATGTTTTAAATAAAAACTATTATTTTCTTGATATATTATATAACTTATTAATATATAATTATTAGATTACGTATTATATAATATATCAATTTTTTTATAAGTTATTATTTTGTATAATATGTTTATATAGGCATATGTTACAAATATAAATGTGTTTTTTAATCCTTATTAAAGTATATATAATAATAATATACTGTAAATCATCTGTGAGAGTATAGCTATGCTTGTATAACAAAATAATTTTCACATATAAGAAATTAATTTTCAAAAAATATTTTAAATTTTTTCTTTATAATATTTAGCGAAATAAAATTTATTAATATGTTTATTTGTTTTAAAAGAACAGGTTGTTAGATATTTTCTATTATGTTCTAATCAGAAAATATTTATATAACATTATCAGATCTTAGTATTGAATGATCAGACAAATGAAAAAATTTATATATGTATTACTTTTAATGCTTTTGTAATGTCAAGATCTTTAATATATATTTTTGCATACTTTTATTTTCTAACATAAAATTTTAACATAAAGTATCTTGCATATTCTTTTATTTTAATCTCTAATATAAATATAAGTCTAGAGAAACATAAATAGAAAAATCACAAAATATTAAAAGGATAGTAAATGTTTTTTTTTAGTTTAAATCAACAAAGATTTTATATTATACTACTATAATACATTTTTTTATTACTATTTTTTATTATGTCAAATTTAGTAATCAAAATTGAAGGTATTCTAATAGTTTAAAAAACTAGAAGTAAAATCCTCTATCGCTATAATCTTAATATTTATTAAACATTCTATATATTCTTTTTCTTTCACATTCTTCTTACCTTCTTTACCTTTCTTAACCAGTATTTTTTATTTCTTGAAAGTATTTTCAGATTTTGTTTCTATTTTTTCATAATATTTTCACTTTATTATCTTTTTTATTTTAAACTTTCCTGTCATATGTTTTCACATTCACTCAAATAGGTTAAGGTAATATAATTATACTGGAGAATATTTATATGTTATTACTAAATATTAGTTTTGAAAGAGTGTAACTATAAAAACACTGTGATATAAAAAGATTTTTTTATATAGCATTAATAGGTATTAGTTCTTACAAAATGTGTCTTATAATAAGAGATTTATATGATGTAATTGTATATAAAGTGATTATAAAGAAGGATAACTATATATTTTTCATAATAAAATACCAATTATAATTAGAATTATTAAACTTAATTTGAATGTTAAGGATAAACATTTACCAGCAAAAAACAAATATTTTTAGTAAATTTTTACATATGATTGTAATTTATTATGAATCTGATACAGTTTCAAGGTTAATAAGACAGATTTATTTTAATAATTTTAGATTATTTTTCTAATAATATCATAAAATATAAAGACCTTATCTTTTTGTTTAAGAACTTCTACAAAATTCTCTTATTTAGAAAATATGTATTCTATATTTCACGTAAGAATTAGAATATATTCTCATAAGAGAGTAATTAGCTATTATTATAAGCTCTTTAACTAGTTAAAATCTTTTTAGATATGTAAAATATATGTAAACAGAATAGATTAGTTTCTTGTTTGAAAATGTATTTACTTAATATAGATCACTTAAAAAGTTAAATTTCATTTTTTAAAGTCACTTTACAATAAAACAAATAGGCTCTTTGCAATAGAAAGGAAGTAAACTACCAAAAAAAATTTTTTTGAGTTAATATTAAATCTGAACTTATTTTGTTAAAAAATAATATTTAACTTATAAAGTAAAAAAAAAATATTTAGTAGTTTCCTCCTTTTCTATTACAAAGAACCCAAATATTATCATCTGATACAGTTTCAAAGTTATTGTCTTAAATAGTTTTAATAATCTTCAGTACTGCTCATATAAATTTGTAATTTTAATTTTTTTTGAAATGATAATTGTAAAAATAATAAGTTTTAATATATTTTATTTTAAGTTTTTATATTAATAGAGAAATATCTTTTACTTTATTTTATAATTATTTGGAAATTCTTTATTTAATATAAAAATATCAAAAAAAACTTAAATATCTAAAAGTGTTATTACTGCTTTTTTAATTATTAATTAGAAAATTATAGAGAAATATATAGTAATATTTTTCATTTATTATTTGATTTGATCTTTTATTATCAACAACTATAAATAGAATGTCTTGATAATTAATTAAAGCATTTTCAAGAATTGCAATTAATCTTTTATTATTTATTACAATTATATTATCATAAATTATGCTATTTAAATAATTTTCACTAAAATAGTAAATCAGTTAATCTTCTATTTTATTTTTTTAATTTCTAGATAAAAAAAACATCAGAGAATTTTAAAAGGTCTAATTAAATAGTCATTTTTAATATTCTAAACTCAGAATAAAATGTCTTATGAAAAAAGGCTAAATAAAAATAATTATAAAAATTTAAGAGATACTTAATAAGAGATAAACTAATCTATTAATATTATTCTAATAAAAAAAACGTATGTGAATGAATTTGTGATTAGTAAAAAAGATATAAAATCTATTGAAAAGATATCAGTTAAACTCTTGTAAATAGTATGAAAAATCCACAATAATAATACATAGAATATATAATTTATATGTAGATAAATATCTTTAAAAATATATTATTATTAGAAGAAGTTAAATATTTTAGAATAATCTGCCCTAAGAAATTTTTAACTTTTAGAAGTAGAAGTAAAATAGCAAATTAACTTTATTAAATTACTAAAATAATTTCTTGAATATTCTGCCTAAGTTAGATAATCTAGTAAATCAGATTTTTTTACTTTTTTTCTATAATATACTAGTATATATCATATATATAATATATACATACTGTATATATCAGTATTGTCAATTAGACTAATTGAACAATTGGACAATTAGATATAATTCAATTAATCTAATTAAATAATTAAACAATTAAACTTAATCTAATTGCCAAATAATTTATCAACCAATAAAAATATATAAAATAAATCCATGATATATATAAAATACTAATAATTTTATTATTAATTATTTTCTATTACAAAATTTTCTAAATAATTGGGAAATTTTAAATTATTTATAAATATAATATATAAATTTCATTTTGCTTGTATATTATTTACAGAATGTACTATTTGAAAAATATTAGCTACAGTAATATCAAAATTTTCATTTATATTTATTTTTTTTATTTCTAAATCTTGAACTTCATCTTCAATAAGTTCAATCCAATTTGCTATCATATTTTGTCAATTATTAATTATTTTATTACCTAAAGTTTCATATTTTTCATTATTTTCTGTTTTATTATCTGATATATTAAGTGGTAAAATAATATCTTTATCAAATATTTGAATATTATCATCAGTATTTCTGATAGTAGAAAGACTTGAAATCATTTTTTTATATTATTGTACTTTTTTATCAATTTGTAAAAATTACTTATTATGTTGTATTTAAGCTCTAATTTGAGTCATTCCTAAAACCTTTTCTGCCTATTAAAATATAATTAATTAATTTATTAAATTAAAAAAAAAAATAAATAAAAAATAAAAAATAAAATTATAAATTATAAACTATTACCTTTAATCTATTTCTTCTTTTAGAATAATACCAATCTATAGTAGAAAATAATTATTCTAAAAAAGCAGTTGAAACTGTAATTGAAAAAATACATTACCCAACTTTATATAATTCTTTTGAATATCCTTATGTATAATTCCAATATCCTAACATATTATCTTTAAATTGTTTTGCAACTGCATCAG